CCTCAGATCTGTAAAAAAAAGGAAAGTTGAAGTAAGATCTTTAGTGCGGTCACAGTTTCAATCAATGACTGCTGATTGAATGGCTAAGTTGCCAGTCCAAATTGGCATTAAATGAAGACTATCTATACTAGTATATATCTTAGGGTCATTTACATTTACCCAGTCAGCAATCACGCTGTCTGCTGATATATTTATCAAAACAGCAGGAGAGATCAGTAGTATATGCTGTGCAGTTACCTTGACAGCAGCCATAGTGAAATTTCACCTGCTTTTGGCTAAGCCAGGCTGGGGGAGGGATGGACAACATAGAAACTAAAATAGAAATCTGCAGTGTGCTAATGAAGTTAGAGCCACCATGGATGCAAGCTGGGGGGGAGGATTTATTCTGACACATTCTCTCTCCTTATGCCTATTGGTGGGGAATGAGTTTCCAAAAAAAGGGAGAGTTTGAGACTCATTTTTGCAGAGGAAAACTCTCACTTCTGGATTCAGTGCAGAAGCAAGAAGAGGTTAGAAATCCCAGCGGAAGCTCCTTTGTCATGGTTGATTGGGGGGGGGCAGTTCAACCCAAAACAAACCTGGGGATCCCTTAAGTGGAAACCAACCTTCTCCAGCTGTAGAGCTGACTGCATTTTCATGTTTGCATAAAGCATTCCTTCTTTTCTTGATCCGGTTAAGCATGTCGTGTGAAGCGAGTCACAGGGAGAAGGATATCAAGACTGGAAAAGTCAGTGAGTTTGTATTCTACAGCAGGGCTTTTCAACCAGTGGTACGGGTACCACCTGTGGTACATTGGCACCTGGCAAGTGATACGCAACCATCCTAGAAAAGTGGTAGTGGGGGAGGGGAATGAGCTGAACCGGTGGTAGCACCCACAAGCCTGAGCGAGAGACGGCTGGAGCTGCAGGGCTGTCAGGGCTCAGCGGAAGCGCCAGGATCAGCGCCAGGCTCCAGCTGGAGCTCGGTGCTGATCCTGGTGCTTCTGCTGAGCCCTGAAGAAGCACCGATCAGCTGGAAAGCAGCACTGATCCTGGCGCTTCTGCTGAGCCCAGAAGAAGCGCCAATCAGCTGGAATGTTGCAGCATCTCCAGGGTCTTGTGATTTACATTCAGATGCTTGGCAATTGATTCATGTTTATGACGGTCACAGTGTCCCAGGGTCATGTGAAGTGACCAAAACCTGCTGCAACCCCCAGCAGATGGGGGGAATAAAAACCAAACACCCCCCCACCCCACCCCCGCTGCCAATCCTCAACAGAAATGCTCACAATGAAAACCTTGGACAGGAGGAAGAGCACGGCCGGGCGGGCAGGCAGGTGTCTTGCTCAGCTGTGGCTTGGGGGGCATTTTTTTCAGTGCCATTGTAACTTCGAACAGTCACTAAGCGAACTGTTGTAAGTTGTACTTTATCACTGTTTCCTTTTGGGGGGGGTCATCAAGTTTTTGACACCTTGCTAGGCGACTGGTGGTACTCGGATGTTGCCATATCCTAAAAGTGGTACAATGGGTGAAAAGGTTGAAAAGCCCTGTTCTACAGCATGTGTCTATATGGATTCCGTTAATTCTGTCTCTCTCTCACACACACACACCCTTTTCCTCTTTGCCCATCTCTCTCTCTGTCTCGCAGCAACTTGTCAGGCTCTTGGCTGCCTGGTCTTTCCAGATGGCTGGGGAGCGCCAGAGGTGAGGGCTCTGTGTGGGCCCCAGGCCAGGAGCTACACCTTGGGTACCTGCTCGATCCACTGGGCCTTTACTCTCGCCTTGCTGGGCATCGCTGACGCATTGGTTCTGGCCACCCTCGCTTTCGTGCTGGGAAACAGGCAGGATGCTCTCTTGCCTGCAGGCTACACACCACCCCGAGAGGGGAGAGGTAAGCATGGGCACATCTTGTGCCCTTTCTGCCTTGGTAATAAATGGAGCCAATGGATGCTTCGACAAAGCCAGCTGCCTGAGAGGCAGGACTGGCAGCCACGTGAGCTGTTGCTTAGTTACAGGCAATGAGACACCCAAATGCAATTGGGATTAAGACTGTCCTGCCACTGGTATTCTGACTGTGACGTGAATAAAGCGCATTCTTTCTTGCATCTTACAAATATCCCTCCCTTTGTCTTACATATGCAAAATAATAATAATAAAAAACCCTGCTTGTTCTCAAATTATGTGCAGAGACTCCCTAAAAAACTGGGAGCTGCAAACCTGGGTCTTCTTCAATTTATGCTAATCTTTGGAAGAGATACGAAAATATCCTGTTCTTGTGACTAAATGGTTTGGGCAAATGCCAAGGTATTTCTCTCACCTGCCTCCTTTTTGGCACCAACAGGAAGCCCAGACTAATTTGTTCAGTGTGGGTTTGTATTAGCCTTGATTTGTGAGAAATGTTAGGGTTAATAAAGCTGGGGTGAAAAAAATCCAGACAATTATTTGATAGAACTGAAGAATCTGAGTTTTCTGCCTCTCTTTGATCTTCTGCAGCCCAGATATGATAATCCTAGATATATCTCAAAACTGATATCAGGTTAGTGAGGCTTACTGAAACTTATATGCACATTTAGAGCTCATTTGAATGATAAACAGTTGAGAAATTCACATAGACACAAACACCCAATTGCTGGCCTTTAATCTTGATTTTACCACAGACTGACAGGTCAGGACAATTATAGGAAATTAAAACGGCACCATTTTGTTCCAATTTAAAATGTTGCTGCTGTGTCTGCCAAAAAGGATTTATTAAGGTTAGAGAACATGATGTTAGCATCCCTCAAGTTTGCAGAGTGCTCTGTCACAAGCCCTGCTGTGGGAAGCTCACATGACTGATTGGTGTGTAAAGCTTCAAAGAGCCAGCAAAACTCCTTCGACTGCAAGGTTAATTATCGCTCAAGCATGATGGCAATTAAAGTCAGTGCATCTGGGGGGCCCTCAGCTGGAGAGGGCTGGCTTAACAGTTGCCTGTAAATTCAGAAACGATGTCGGAAAAGACAACGCTGAAACTCCCATCTTTTCCATATTCCCTTTCCTCTTCAATGTACATGCATTGCGAAGCACATGCACACATGTGCGCATACGCATACATGAAACAACCAAGGGAGAGGACAAAACATCAGGCCTTTTATTTTTTTAATCCAATTACCTTGAGAAAACACACTTCAGGAAATAAATGAAGCACTTTTATCTGACTGGGTGATTGCCCATCATTTTGTACCCCACAAGTATCTTCCTTCCTTCCTTCCTTCCTTCCTTCCTTCCTTCCTTCCTTCCTTCCTTCCTCATAATGCAACCTTTTTAGGGTTTATAAGTCTTTTTAAATGGGTTTTTAGTGCTATTTTAGAGGAGTGGGTAGAGAAGTGGACTTTGCTTCAAAACCCCAAATGCCTTGGGTATCACAGGTTTTAGAAAGTATCTTATAACTTCTTCCTTTTCTGCTTGTGGCATGTGTTTAGGTGTGACTTCAGCGCTGACTCCGGATTGATCCCAACCAGCAAACATTCTTCAGAGGGGGATATGTCATGGTTTTGCTGTACCCGTTGCAATAAATTTTAGAAAATGATAATATTATGGTGTCTTATTAGTATCTTTCATGATTATTTGAAATTGTTTGTAAAATCTTTTTCTCTCATTCAGGGCTGGACAACAGAAGGCTCACAGGCAATATATGGCTTCCTAATTCTAGATTTTTGCATGTCAAAAATGTCACCCAGTTAAAATTTGGCAGCAAGTAATAAATTTACAGTAAGGTGATTTCCAAGGGATGTTCAGCACGAAATGACGGTAGTCCTTAGCAGGTTTCAACTTTAGTATTTAAAATAATCCCCAATTTCCCCCACCCTCCCCAAAATGAAACAAAGAACAGAATGTTCCAGATTTATCCAGACTGCCATACTCGCCAAGGCCTCTGGCAGATGAAAAATTACAGTTGAAAAAAGAAAAAAGACCTAGTTGCCAAAAAGCTTCCAATTCCTGAAATTGTTTGTTGTCAGAATCCTCTATGACATGAAAAGAATTGGGGAGAAGGTGCATCCCTCCAGGAAAAAACTCCGTGATGTTCAAGTTGTACTGAACTCATTCAATATAACATCTGGAAGAGAACAAAGTTGTCTTTATGTATATGGCCATCCAACTCACTCTCAGTGACTCTGATGGATCATCACCTCTCTTATCAGAACTTCTTGTTTAAGGCAAGTATCTATTACTAGAAAACCAATATAGCTTGACATGGTTACCATTTTTTGAAGATTCTTGACTTTTGAAAGCCCAGAGATAGACTGTTCATTCAGCACCAACCTCTTTCTTCTAATAGTACCCTCTAGGCCAGGGGTGTCAAACTCGCTACGTCACGTGATGTGTCAAGACTTTTTGCATTGCCAGAGCTAGGGTGTGGCCTCCGTATGATGCAACTGGCCTGTGGGCCAGCAGTTTGACACCCCTGCTCTAAGCCTTCCTAGATTTAGGGTCAAATCCCAGTGTAAGGATTTTTGTTTTCTTCTGTGGGTGTCTGGAAACCTAAAGTATTGAAGTATCTTTTTGGTTTATAATTTGATTAGATTTACTATCTGGCTCTATCAGCTTATTTCTAATACTGATGGAGACAGGGCCCCAGAGTGGAGCTAAGGATAATGGTCTATCTGCACCAAGTCCTGGATGCCCAACTTCTTTCAAGCTTAGTTGCCCTTGACCTTTTGAGTATAAAGGTGGGGCCCACACTCCAAGATATAGGCCCAGCTGAAACTAAAACATTTGAAGGTAAATTAACTAAATATAAGAAATATGATGCCTTCCCATGCATGTCATCATCATTCTATAAATTAGAATTTCATGGCAAATTCTGGCGTTCTGAGGGCCACATCCAAGGTTCCCCAAAATTTTCCACAGGACAACACGAACAAGACCACTGCTACAATAAAATACCTGGTGGGACTTTTTATTCAGTAATTCATCAACATTAAAACTCTGGCCACAAGCATGATTGAACATGGCAACAAATCAGCAAGGGCAGCGTTGGTGTTTATGTAGGCCAACGAGGGTTGAACACAAGGGGTCTTACAAACCAGACAGAAACAAGCAGGTGGAAACAGGGAAGGAGGGGTGAGAGGCAGCATCAGTGAAGGAGAAATATTAAGGCAGTTGGAAGGTTTTTTGGGGTGGGTGGAAATTTGTTTAAGCCACATTTTAAAAAAAAAAGCCAAGAAGTGAGAAGAATGAGGCTGGCGATACCTAGCTCTGGCTTTGGAGGGAGGTAGGAACTAACCATCAATGAAAAACCATCTCCTTAGCTGAAAAGAGCTTTCCATCAGGGCACTGAGAAGGTCAGTGAAGAGAAAAGCGGCCCTCCCCTGCATACACTTTATAGAACATAAGTAGGATTTGGGGATCCCAGTCCAAGGTTATCCCCCTTCTTTCCCAGTATTTTGGGGTCACAGGTAGGACAGAGGCAGGAAAGAACACGAGGTGCCACTCACAGTCCATTGACATTCAAAGGGGGGGAAACTCATCAGTGAGGTTGCTCCCCAGTTTTTGTTTTCACAGAAACCAATTCTCATTATTCAGAGAGATACCGAAGCCTCTGGGTGCCCCCACTCATACTCCGTCTCCCACCCACCACTTCTCCTTCTGTCCGCTTGACTCGCTGCAGCTCGTCCCCACTCTCCCCACCAAGACGCTTGACCCGCAGAAGATTGGGGGGTTCGGGTAGGTCTCCTCCATCAAAGATGGCACGACGCAGGCGTCTGGGAGTCAGTGGGAGACGCTGCGAAGGCATGTTGCTTGCTCCTGATAGGATCCTGCCAATCAGATACCTGAAAAGAACAGAGAAAGGTAGAATTGGGGGCTTACCAACCCACCCATGGGAGTATTTTAATCTGCAAGAATCTTTTGCAGGAAACAGACACAGGAGTTGTTTTGCAGAGTCGGTCAGTTCATACTGTATACCAGTGATGGCGAACCTTTTAGAGACCGAGTGCCCAAAAAACGGCCCCGCCTGCCCCCGTTCCACTCCTGCTCTGCCTCACCCCACCTGCTCTGCCCCCACCCCGGCCCCGCCCACCCACAGGGCCACCCACTGCCTCCACAGATTGCCCAGGCGGTCCAGCAGCGCCATGGCGGCCATGCCCTCTGCCCACATCCCGCAGCATAATCTGCGTGCGACGGGGCACAAGGGTGGAGTCTTGTCCCCGCTGCCTGGCTGCCACGTCCTTGGCTGCGCCGCTCCGCCTGAGCTGTGCTCAGGGGCGACTCTCCTACGGGGGGGGTTGCTGGTGAGGAGGGGGCCACGGGAGAGGTGGGGCTGGAGCGACGGCACGAGTGCCCAGAGGGCCCTGAGTGCCTCCTGTGGCACTCGTGCCATAAGTTTGCCACCACTGGTATATACTAAGCTATGATCTATCAAACATGTCTTTTTTTTAAACGGCTATGATGGCTGGGCTTCTGCCATACTCTCAAACTATGGCTTACAAATCGCAACAGCCATGTTCACACCTCATTTGAGCCAAGCAAAACTCTAACACATTAGAAGGTTTCTCACCTCCTTCCCACCTACCTTTCAAGAGCTGAAATTTTATGTTCCCAATATAAAAGCAGACATAAATCCCAACTCTTCCCTTCCCAAGAACAGAATCCAGGAAAATCTATATGTGCACTGAGGATTGGGAACGTAGATCTTTTCCCCATTAGATAGAGAACTGAACGTGGGATTGCTGAGCACCAAGCCTTCCCTTCTCCAAGTCACACTGGGGACATCAGTGAAGAGACATCTCTCCATTCGTGTGGTGTGATTGTCTGCAATGTAGCTGGAGCTTAATAACGGAGAGGAAATGTTTGCATGTGGGCAAAGGTACAAACCAGCCAGCAATTCAGTGATACCTTTATTATGTGAGCTGAAATCTAGAAGGGCTGCTCCCTGCAGTTCCCACATTCAGTTTGACCCATGAACCCACTATCCAAGCCTGACTTTTCTCTGGAGAGATTGTTACACTTTTCACGGCCGTATGAAGAAGGAAGTCTATTCCAACCTGGGGCTTCCAAAAGCACAAGACGACCAGTTGTGTTGGACCTGCTCCCACAAAAAGTGGCTTGCCGTCTCTTTGCCTTAGGAGGTCTCACAGGACCTTTTGCTGAACCCAGAGCAGAGATTTACTCATCAAAAGCAAAAAGTCACAGGTCTAAGCAAAAAATAATAAACCCTGAATGCAATCGTAATTGAATGAATATAATTTTTTTAATGTTGTACGCTGCCTGGAGTCACTGTGTATGAGTTGGGCAGCTGTATAAATGTTTAATAAATCAATCAATCCTGTTGATCCAAAGTATCTTTCTACTGATGAAATAATGATTATTATCATGATGATGATCATCATCATCATGATTCGGGAAAATTTTCTAAGAATGGAGGTGGGAGAAGAATTACAATAGGGCTCTTTTCTTCTCTCTACAGCAACTCCCTCTCTTAAACATTTATTCCAGAGAATGGATGGTTCTCAGTGCAGGAGGAGGAGTTGCAAATCTGAAAAATTCCTCTTTCTTGTTATTTATGCTTCCTTTGTGAACTACTCCCTGAAAGGTTATCAAACAATCATTTTGTATTTTGTTTTTTTTTTAAAAAAATGATTCAATTAAGGTATGAGAGTGGCCTGGTTTTACTCAGCAGTGAAAAATGAATTGATGCCAATCTACACAGGCTCAGAGGCACATCCCACTCTACCTTCTATAGCTCAGTGGCGGCATTCTGAACCTTGAGAGTTAAATCCTTATTCAAAACAAACCCTGATTTTTCATCTCTGGCTACCTCAGCATTTCGGGGTCCACCTCTCCAGCAGCTTCCTCCTCGGCGCCCAGCTCTTCTTGGGGTTCAAAACCTCCTTCGGGGGGCCAATAACGATTCGGCAGTGCTCTGGGTGGAGAGGAGCCACCTGCCAAGCCAGTCTCATCGTACTCAGGGTACAAGGTTGCCCCCTTGGCTTCATCCCACAGCCTCAGCAGATTTGCCAGGTAGACAGACTCCTGGTCCCGGCGATGCCCATCCTGAAGGAGGCGCTGCAAAGCACGTGCCAGGTGCTTGTCTGGCTGGAACTGGTTGCTAGGTGGGGACACCGCTCTTTCAAGGGCCTGGGCCATTCGCTCATCAGCCAGCTGGTTCCCGGAAGAAGCCAACGCTCGTTCCAAGGCTTGGGCAAAGTGATCTTCTTGTAGCTGGCCACCCGGAGTCGACAAGGCCCTTTCCAGGGCAGCCAGCTGAACCAGTTCTGGGTAATACACTTCATTGGCCAAGGCGGTCTCAACAGCCTCATATGGTGCCCCCTGAAGCTCACGGCGCACCCGCCGGACCCCCCCTGACAGGTTGTGATTCATCCCTCCATGGGAGCTGCCTGTGGTGGGCAGAGGCTGAAAGAAACAGGGAAGATGATTGACAGGAAGTGAATAAATATGGACAGACAGCAATCAGACCCTGGGGCCAGGCAGGGAGGGAAATAATTAGATCATTCCTGCTGTGGACTCAGAGCTGAGGCTTTGGCAATGGGTTCACTACATATCAACACAAAACAACAGAAAACACCTCCATCAAACTATAAGTAGCTCAACACACACAAGTAGTTTAATGAAAAATAAAGAAAAGCTTCTATCTGATCTTAGGAAAGCACTTTTAAATCTCGTTGATTTCACCAGAGAAGAGCATTTAACTTGCTCGTTGAAATAAATCAGTATTTTTTTTAATCTTTGTTATATATATATACAGTACATGTATTTTAATTCTATCCTCCCCCAGGGAGTTTAGAATGGCACCAGTTTCCATTCTTATTTTATTATCTTGAAGTCAGTTAGATGAGAGCTAACTGTTGGACCCAGCAGCAGGACTGCAACTAATCACTGAAAAATGGAACCGCATTTATTTAATTTTAAATAAAACTAGAAGGATGGATGCATAGATAGATAGAAACATTGATATACAGACAGTTCAAGATCCTAGGCGGAAAAAATCCAATCACATTTTTTCTCCTCATACATAACAGATATTAGTTGGCTTATTCTAATATTTGTAGTGACATATAAGCACAGAAATGATTGTACGTAGTAATATACAGTCACAGAAATACAAAAAGAGCTCTTTTTCAATGCTTTAGTTTCTCTCTCAAATGCCAAAGCATTGAGGAGAAAGAATAGGTGTCAGAGTTTCTGTTTGTGCCACTGAAAATAATGCTAAGTGTTTCTATGGCAAAAGCTAATTTTTGTTAATCATTTTTAATTGGTCATTGTGATGAAGACGGAATCTCTCTGACTGAGGTGTATTGACTATTTATTATACAATTTTTAAACAACCCTATAACTGAAATTCTGTGGAGGTTATCAAGACTGAAAAGAAATACAAATATAATGAGAGAGAGAGAGAGATCTTATTAACCATTTGTTCTATTTCTCTCTCTCCACACACACATACAACACATGTCCACAAACACAAGTAAACTATGTATAAACACATAGCCTGATTCACTCAAACTATAGCAATATGATATGAAAATCAGACTCTCCTCTCAGCATCTGATTATTATAATTACCATTCATCATTCCTATCATCTTGGTCTCTATATTCAGTGGCCCAGTTTTCTGTAGAGTAAATCTGATTAGATTCTTCCAAAGTTATAACAAACCTTCCAGATCTTTGAAAATAAAAGAAATGTCTTGCTCTGTTTAGCTATTTGTAAATAGCTATAAATTTATAAAATTAGAAAAATTAACCTGAACCTCAGCACAGCACAGCCTCAGCGCAATGAAGGGAAATAAAGTCAGGGCAGAGAGCATCTGGGAAAATGGGGAAGGAAGTTCTTTTCAAAAAAAAAAAAAAGACAGGCAGGCATCTCTGCAGAGAATATATAGAAATCTGTGAGGATGCCAGAGAGTCTCTGCAGTCCTCCTGCAGGATTAGTCACACACCCACGGGCAGGAGGGGAATTAGGAAATCTTGGGTAAATAAATGCATCAAAGAATACATGGTTAAATCAAATGTGGTCCTGATCTTTCAGGTTAATAGTTAGCCCGCCATGCATCAAGCTGATGTTTTGCTACTGCTCAGCATCCCACTTAGCTCTGCCTTTGTTTTCAGCCGCCCTAGTCCCCCAGGCATTGATGAATCAGTTATGACGCCGGAAGCAGGGATGGTGGCAAAGGACTTAGTGCTTACATAAAGCATCCATGACAGGCATCTCGGAACATGTCTTTTGCTCCTCCATCACACATATCTATTCCATGCTGCACTTTCTTTTAAAACAACAGGCACCTTTCTGTGAACACACCTGGACACCCTACCCTTATCAGATAAACATACCCACCCATTGGTCTTAAGACACAATAGTCACCTGTCACGCCCCTTCTACAAAAGTCGGATATATTCACGTACTGCACCCTTTAATGCCCAATAAGAGTCACTTGTTGAGATGGGCAAGTATAGAAATCAAATACATAAATACATGCTCACCCTTTTTGCACTCCCTCGCACAAATATAGTGCTTTGCGCCGTTCTTTTGCAACCCCTCCCCCAATAGTTCAATCCTGGCACAGCCACACAGACAATTTGCAAACCTTGGTTATCCTCCCACCCACAAGTACCCACATTCAGCAGCCCTGTGAAACACACACAGCTGCTTCCCGTAGGCACATGTGTGAATCACTTGCACAACAGTGTGCACAACACTGACTTCTCTGGGTAGGTGGATGAAAAATAGGCATGCATGATTCACAGTGTTTTATACTTTCCTAAGACAAATGTCCATGCACGCACACACACACACACACACACACACAGAAGTGCAGCCCGATGTCCTTTGCAGTTTGAAATTGCTAGAATAGAAGCATTAAGACAAATCTTCACTCTGTAAGGAGGCTGCCACTTGGTCTTCCATAATCCCTGCTTCCTCTGAAAAATCAGGACTTCTTCTTCAGTCACCCACCACAGTGTGAAAGTGTCCCTTGGTTGAGACTTCTGCTGAGCCCAGCTCTGAAATGGGGATTCGGTGGTTTACAGACCGGCAAGCATTGCTCCACTTTATTTTGCTACCGTTGATCCCCCAGAATCCACCAGATCAAATCCTGGCAATCTGGACAGAAGCATGTTAGAGAAGCAGGAATACAGATGCGCCACAAAGAGGCTGACAGACGACTCAAGTAAGGAAGCCAAGCCACAAACTAGGGACAACTACTAGCCCCGAAATGGAGGGAAACAAAAGAGAAATCCTCTCATTAGCCTACCACTAAAGTATGGGCCCCATGATGTATAACCAATTTCCCCTCTATCTTTGGCTCCCTTGTTCGCAGAGCCCCAGCTATGCATCACCTAGCGCAGTGACGTTCACACGGCCAAGCCTGCGTGTTGGACTCAATCACCGAGTTTGTGTTCGCATCTCCTACCTTGGCGGCTCCGAGGCTCGAAAGCAGCGCGAGCAGCAGCGCCGGGCCCATCGCTCCCGAGTCCCTTCGGGAGGTAGAGGCTGCCCGGATGGCGGCGGCGGCGACAGCAAGCGAACGAGGGAGCCGAGCGCGGTCTGCACCAGCCAAGCGGACCGCGCTAGACAGCGCCACAGCTCCACCCAATCGCTCCGCCCCACCGACTTTGGCTCCGCCCACACCAATTACTCAGTTCCCCGGCAGCTTTTGTGTCGCTGGTAGACAAATGGGGGGCGGGAAGGTGAGGAGCCGGGTAGTGGTCTGTGTCTTGCTCCTGGAACACGCAAAAAGCACTACTCCCGTGCATATGCAGAGTGCACTCCTTTCCCACTAAAGAATCTGGCGTGGTGGTTGCTTGAGGCTTTTCCCTGTTTGTCTCTGGAACAGGTGGAAAGCACTGTTCTTGAGCACGTGCAGAGTGCACTCCTTTCCCAATGAATAGTCGGGCGTGGGTCGCTGCTTGAGGCCTTTTCCCTGCTTGCCCCTACAGGCATGCCCTGGTAATGTGAATTGTTCGGTTTTGCCCCCCATGGAATTAACCGCTTCGTCTCATCCCCAGCTCATGGATTAGAAAGGCTGAAGTCGTCCTTACCTGTGCTGGAGTTAAAGCAGCATTTTCTCCCTTTTGGCATCATTTAGGAGCAACACCAAGGTGTATAAAAAAATCTGTCCCATTACTTATTGCCTTGGAGAAATTGGAATTGGAAAAGAGAAATTAAGTCAGAGATAAATGTAAATTGCCAGTGAAGAGATGGCTGGATAGCACTTCCATTCAGAAGTGGGAAAAACTTCTGTACTTCTGTTTTGACCCTGCCTCCGATTCTTGCCTGGTTGGGTGTTATGGACAAGAAAAGCTAAAATGTTCTACTTTGCAGTATTAAAGGCTGCTTCTATAAAGTAATATTTCTTTCAGCTTCCTTTCACAAGAAAGGAATATTTAATTTTTTGAATTTTTGATTTTTATTTTTGGAAATTTCTATAGAGAAATTCTACTGAGTAACCCCTTGGTTGGTATTATTTATTGCACTGTAGGAGGGCAGCACCCCCTCCCCAGAAAAAAAATATTTTGGGGAATATTAAAAAGCAGAATATTATATTTCCCAAAGGAATATAATAATGAAGAAAGAAAATCTTAAAAGACAGAAACCAGCCCCAGCCCCTCTCCCCCAGGCAGAGGCCAGGTCTGTAGAAATGCAGATTTGATAATCCTATTCAGGAAGACTAGAGCCAGGAAGCTTGGAGCTGATGAGATTAGAAAGACAAAGACCCCTAAAATCGACAAACTCCATCCAAACTCTAAAGACATGACCTTTAGGACATAATAGGATTAACCCACCACCATCAGAATACCAAAAGGACATGCTCAGAACCTCAGGTCAAAGTACATGACACAGGAAGTGCAAAGCTATAGGAAAAGGAACTCCAAACACAAAAGCCCAAGAAGGTATAAAAAACCCACCACTCCCAGCTACATGTGGTCAGCTTTCCTAGAGCCACATTTCTTCTGCTCTTCAATAAACTACAACTTTCTTTCTAAAGCAGTCTCCATTTTCTTTATTCCCGGCTTGGACTGGACCCTGATGAAAATGTTTCTTTCAACAGCACTTATAACTAATATTTTCTGCAAAAGAAAATTGAGGCAATGCAAAGAGTTCTTTCCCTATCCACATGCATCTTAATTTAAGAAATTAAGACAGACCAA